GGAGGGAGGACAACACTGCCCAACTTCTACCTACACAACTGACATACGTCCGTTACACAAAGACATGTATGAGAAAAAGTCATTTCTAAACAGAAAGTCATCGCTCCTGAGTGGTCAAAGAGCAGTGACAATCAGAGGAAAATTTAACACTGTCACATACAAATACAGGAACACAAACGAAAAGTCGTGGCAGCAGCAGGCTTGCTTCTTTACCCTTTGTTTTGTTTTTCTCTTTTTTGTTTTTTTATTAGTTCTGCAGGACACTGTTTCTAGACATTTTGGTAGCAAGGGAGAGTACAGAGACATGCAGGAGGCAGGGGAAGGGAACATCAACATAATTTACCCAGGTAGGAAGACCTGGAGATTCCATGTGGATTAAAAAAAAAATAGATATAATAAAAACTGCATCTACCAAAACTCGCAGAAATGGACCAGATCTTCTTACACCACAGTATGCTGCATACTGCTGCCCACCTACTCTGCTTCTCTGCCGCAGAAAGCAAGAGAACTGAGTGGAGGGAGGAAGTAAAAACACTTGCTGTTTAGCTGGAAGAGCAAAGAAAAGCACTTATTCCGTTTCAGTCATAATAGCTGCAAAGTCTTGCCAACACACGAACGGGCTGAGTGCTTAGGAGCTCCACCTGCGCCTTTGCCTAGGTTTGCATTTCATTCAGAGTGCATGACTACGCAGAAGGGAAACAACTTTCACGCTAACGTACAGGATGATAGAGTAAATCAGTAACACTGAGGAGGACCTCACATCTCTAGGTTGTGGAGATCAAGAATAAAGTAGCGTGGTAGTTTTATTTTCCTCACTATCTGATGCCTCACGGTTGTGCAGCAAAGCTCCAGCGCTACTGACACAGTTAACTACCTGCTGGCAGCCACCATCCTGAGGCCACGGGCTAACGGGAAAACACGGGATGACCAGAGTCCCAGAAGACAGCACCACACCCTCCACCAAGGGAAAGCTAAGACATACCCTTAACCATGGGGCCAGAGATACATGTCCTGTTTGAACAGTGCCCGCTCCGAGGTGAAAGAGGAGTTTAACTCGTACAGCTGTCAATTCGGTACCAAAGTTGGCTCAGTTACAAAGAGGATGCACATTCAGTAGAACCTGGGAGGAGCTCTCAGTCATGTTTAATCACCAAGTTATTAGTTTTTAGGTTTGCTTGTTAAAACCAACCAACAACAAAAAAAACCCTGATGTGGCACACATTGCCACAAACCATAAATTTCACTCGTGTACTCCTCAACGTCAGAACACCTGCTCCAGAAAGGATTAAAACCCAAGCTCAACAGTCACAGAAAATAGTTACCATTAAGAAAAAAACAGCAGACAAGGTAATTATTCCATGTGAGTTCTGTGCCATCTGTAGAAAAGGTTTCCAAGAAACAAATTCTGATTTTTAGACTCTGTTTCAGAACAAGCTAAATTTCCTGGTACTTGGTGGGAAAGCACGCATACATCCTTGTGGGTCATGTAAAGAAAACAAATCCAGGGAGATGAGCACATTGCCAATGCTCACTCAGATTAGAGTGACGGTCTGAACGCACACTCATGAATAAAAACCAGAGGATGGCACTTGCCAGATTTGTAAACCGAAATGGCACAAGACAGCTGAATGCTTTGCGTGAGCAGAAGTCACAAGTACCACCCAAGCAGGTCTTAAAGTTTTGGGTGCCCCTCACCTACAGTTAGGACCCCACCCATTCCTCCCATCTCCCACTACTGATAAGCAACAATGGTAAAACTTGTGAAAATTCCTGCAACCAGCTGAAGTTCCTGGCCCACCACGGGCAGGGGAAGCACCCTTCTTGTTGTGGACTACATTTATCAAACACACAAGTACAAGACGACATGCAGAGCAATAGGAAAGTTACCTGCAGATCCACGCTGCGGGAACTGGCAATCCAGTAATTGAAACCCAAAACAACGATGCAAGCCACGAGAGCAGCCACGAGGAGCGGTGGAGACTTCATCCCTCGGCAGCTGTTTCCTAGCCCTACCATTTCAAGAAAAAATATCAATCCCAAAGAACCACAGCAGTGTGGAAACCTGCAAATTAAAACAGACATGTTATATTGCCTCCTCTGCTACGGCTATTTTATACACACAATGAAACTTCTACTGCAGTAATACAACACCTCTCGGCTAACAGGATGACACCCAGCAATGAAGGCATACTGTCTAAATATTTCCCTCTGAAGGATGAAGGAAGGCCATCTCATACTATCAGCTTGTACATAAAGCTTCACATGGACTTGAGGGGGAAATCTTGACTATTCCTAACAATATAATAAAAATCTGCAATAGGCAGAACACACCAGACACCCTTTTCTCATATATTCCACCATGGTGGTTTTGGCTGGGAGAGGGTTAATTTTCTTCCCAGTGTTTTGGATTTGTGCTGGAAACAGCGTTGCTAGCACAGGGATGTTTTAGTTCCTGCTG